TTGGCTGCTAACCAGAAGGTCAGCAGTTCAAATCCACCAGCCATGCCATGGAAGGAAGATGGGGCAAACTACTTCCATAAAGATTTACAACCTCGGAAACCCAACAGGGATCACTACAAGTAGAAATAAACCCAATGGCATTGGTTTTCTTTTTTTTTTTAAAACAGTGTTGGAAGATGATCTCCCTAGGTTAGAAGGCACTCAAACGCAACCAGAATGTTCTTTAGAAGGATGATGAGACTTTGACTCATTTACACCGTCAAGAAAGACAAATCACTAGAAAAGACATCATGTTTAGTGGAGTGGGGGGCCCCCAAAAAAATCCAGGAAAACCCTCAATGAGATGGACAGACACAACAGCCACAAGAATGGACTCAAACATGCCAATGATCACGGAGATGGTGCGGACCTGGTAACATTTCCTTCTGCTGCACACAGGTCGCCATGAGTCTACCTGACCGCAACTGACAATAACAATTCGTTATATATATAACATACACGTCATTGTTGTTGTTAGGTGTTGTCGTCTCCGACTCATAGTGACCCCATGTACAGCAGTATGAAACACCGCCCAGTCCTGTGCCAGCTCCATATCCCTGCTGTACCTGAGCCCATTGTTGTAGCCACTGTGTCAATCCATCTCGTTGAGGGCCTTCCCCTTTTTCGTTGACCCTCCACTTTACCAAGCATGACATCCTTCTCCAGAGAATGATCCCTTCTGACAACATGACCAAAGTAGGTGAGACGAAGTCTGACCATTCTCGCTTCAAAGGAGCATTCCAGCTGCACTTCTTCCAGGACAGATCTGTTAGTTCTTTTAGCAGTTCATGGCACTTTCAGCATTATACACACATATATAAATATATATACACATAATATACACATACACATATTTATATATATACATATCCATACACACATAATACACCTGTGCATACACACATAATACATATATACATACACATTTACATACATGTATACATATGTATATTTATATACACACATAAAAATACCTCAGTGCCATTGAGTTGATCCCAACTCATAGTGACCCCTCCTTGGTTTTCTGAGGAGGTATCTCTATGGAAGTAGATTGTGCAGTCTTCCTTCTGAAGAGTGTGGTGGGTTTGAACCACCAGCCTTATGGTTATCAGTCAAATGCCTAAGACACTATGCCACCAGAGCTCCCATATACACACATACACATATATAATACACACATACATATATATAGACATACATATACATATACACATACATATACACATACATGCATATATTTTTATATATACACATAATACATATATACATACATATATTCACATATACATATATACACATAACACACATATACCTGTATTTATATATACATGTTGTAGTGTTGTTAGGTGCAGTCGAGTTGGCTCCGACTCATAGCAACCCTATGTACAACAGAACAAAACACTGCCTAGTCCTGTGCCAACCTCACAATCCTTGCTACACCTGAACCTATCATTGCAGCCACCATCTCAATCCATCTTGTTGATGGCCTTCCCCTTTTTCATCGACCGTCCCCGTTCTAAGCATGAATCCTTCCCCAGGGAATGGTCCCTTCTGATAACATGACCAAAGTAGGTGAGCCAAAGTCTGGCCATTCTCACTTCCAAGGAGCATTGTAGCTGCACTTCTTCCAAGACAGATTTATTTGTTCTTCTGGCAGTCCATGGTACTTACATACATACATATATACACATACATATATTTTTATATACACACATGCAACATATAATACACAGGGATATAACACATAATACATACATGCATACATTACACACATATAATACATATCTAAACACAAAACTAAATATAACATAATACAAATACACATATATACACACATACACACATAATACATACATATATACACACGTTTTATATATACATACATATATACATATATTTATATATACACACACATACATATATTTATATACACATATAATACACAACATAACATGATACATATATATATATATACACACGCACATACAATTTTATATACACGCATAATCCACACCAGAAAATCAACTACCATCAAGTTGATTCCAACTCATAGTGACCCATGATATTTTCAATTGCCTCATACGCACGTGAGAGCTGGACAATGAATAAGGAAGACTGAAGAAGAGTTGATGCTTTTGAGTTGTGGTGCTGGCGAAGAATGCTGAAAGTACCATGGACTGCTAAAAGAACTAACAAATCTGTCCTGGAGGAAGTGCAGCCGGAATGCTCCTTGGAAGCAAGAATGGCCAGACTTCGTCTCACCTACTTTGGTCATGTTATCAGAAGGGACCATTCCCTGGAGAAGGCTGTCAAGCTTGGTAAGCTGGAGGGTCGACGAAAGAGGGGAAGGCCTTCAATGAGATGGATTGACATGGTGGCTGTGACAATGGGCTGAAGTATAGCAGGAATCATGGAGCTGGTGCGGGATCAGGTGGTGTTTCGTTCTGCTGTGCATGGGGTTGCTATGAGTCGGAGACGACTCCATGGCACCTAACAACAACAGTGACCCCTATTGGGTTTTCAAAGCTGTAAATCCTTTTTTTTCCCTTCTTTTTTTACAACACATACAAATACACTTATACCACCAACCTAAGGCTGTAAATCTTTATGGAAGTAGATTGCCTTATCTTCCTCCCACAGAGCAGCTGGTGGGTTTGAACTGCTGACCTTCTGGTTAGCAGCCAAACGTCTTACCCACTATGCCACCAGAACTCCATATAATACACATACATATATATACATACATATATATACACATGACACATATACATATACAAACATGCATATATTTATATACACATGTACATATATGTACTTACATGCTATGTACACATATTTATAAAACACATGCATGTACACATCATACACACATACATACATACATACACACACGTATATACACATATATTTTAATACACCTACTCTTCAGTTATCGACTATCTTGTTATCCAATTTTTGCATTTATGAAAACAGTAAAAAATCTACTATCTGACTATTTTGCACTTTAACAACATCTAGCAGTAACGAACGTCGAAGTGCCAGGAGAGGGAAACAATGTTGTGATGGTTCAGATTATATGTCAGTTGGCTGGGCCATGATTCTCTGTGGTTTAGCAGATACATAATGATGTAATCTGGCAGTTATGTAATGATGTCGTCATCCTTCATTTTCACATCATCACCTGGTCTTTGGAACCTAACCACGTCAATAATGAGTGAGTGTGTGTGTGTGTTTATTTAAATGGCTAAATTCACCAATTCAAAGATGGATCCTTTTGCAGTTGCCTTATTTTTATCAGCAAGCCTCCTATCCCCACTCAGCACTCCACAGTGTCTAACCTGGCCTGTGCTGGGGGCGGTAAATGAGCCCTGAATAAAGGAGTTAGGCTATTCAAACAACTCTAGATGAGTCTCAGGCCAGACAAATGCCTCCTTGCCCTGAAGCTCATCCAATCACACACAGAAACATAGCCACCTCTATGAAAAAGTCTTACAAATCTTTCTGGGCCTCCCATCTGCAGCCAGCCTTAGAGGTAAGGAGTAGAGGTATCTGTGACTGCACAACAGTTTTTAAAATGGCAGGGCCCCAAATATGCCTCCTCAGCCCAGGTAAATGAATGGCTTAGTCTCTTAATAACAGCTCACCGACCAAATAAATCATGTAGACTTTGTTTAGATCTTAATTTGAATAAATGTAAAAAGAACATTTACGAATAATTAGGAAAATCTGAATAGCAGCTGGATATTAAATAATATTATATAGAGTTAATGGTAATCTTTTTACAGGTGATAATATTTATTTTTTAAAACTGGGTTATCTCCTAGAGGTAGATACTGACATATTTACACATGAAATAATATCATGCCTGGGATTTGCTTTAAAATAATGGGGAAGGGTAAGGAATAAAAAAAGAATGATTATTTGTTGATAATTGTTGGGGTTCACTATACCATTCTATTTATTATGAGCATATTTCAAAATTCCCACAACAAAGTAAGAGGAAGGAAGGAGGAAAAGATGGAAAGAAGTAAGGAAGGATGGAAAGAAAACAGTATGAATTCGATTATCAAGCACTTCTGAAGGCAGGTTTGGGTAACAGGGCTCTGCCATTAACTAGCTGTGTGACTCTGGGAAAGTCCATGTCTCTGGGCGTGGTAAAATGTTCTCAAAAACACTAATGATATTATCTTGGTAAGCCAAACAAAAAAACAAAAAAACTGCCTGCCATCTACTCAACTGGATGATTAAATAAATTAACAGATTTAAAGGTTCTGACATGGTAGCGGATACACCAAACCCAACCCACTGTCATTAAGTCTATTCCAACTCATAGCAAGTGACCTGCCTCATAGGGTTTCCAAAGCTGTAAATCGTCTCAGAAATAGACTGCCTCATCTTTCTTCCCCAAAGTAGTTGGTGAGTTCTAACCATCGACCTTTTGATTGGCAACCAAATGCTTAAACCACTGCACCACCAGAGCTCCTCGTGTTGATAGTCAATAAATATTAGTTTTTCTCCCTATTTTCTCCATTTCTCCGAGGACCAACGTCAGATCTGCCGGAACTGACAGAAAAAAACAACTAAACTCACTGCCGTGGAGTCGGATCTAACTCATAACTGCCCCTCTGTGGGTTTCCAAAGCAGTATCACTACGGAAGTAGACTGCCCAATTTTCCCTCCCAGGAGTGGCTGGTGGGTTTAGAACATCCAGTCTTCAGATTAGTAGTCAAATGCCTTAGCCACTACGCCACTAGAGCTCCCAGAACGGACCCGGCAACAGAAAAAGTGTGAGACATAACCCGCTGCGCACAAGGCCACAGCGCGTCGAAGACAGAGAACCGCCCACCCAGCGCCGGTCCCGCCCACCGTCGCCTGCACCTTACGCAGAAGCACCGCCCAGGAGTTTGTTGTTACTGTGACCCGCGTGTCAGGTGGCATCGGGTCAGGGTCTCAGCGCCACTATGGCGGTGCGACAGGCGCTGGGCCGGGGCCTGCAGCTGGGTCGAGCGCTGCTGCTGCGCTTCACGGCCAAGCATGGACCAGTCTGCGGCTTCGGGCGGGCCGAGCGGCCGGGCCCAGCGGCGTGTTGGGGCCGAGGAGAACGCCCAGGCCCGGTCCGGGGGCCGGGTGCGGAACCGCGCAGGCTCGGACTCCCCGACCGCTACCGTTTCTTCCGCCAGTCTGTGGCCGGGCTAGCGGCGCGGCTCCAGCGGCAATTCGTGCTGCGTGCCCGGTGTGGCGCGGGCCCTTGTGGCCGGGCTGTCTTTTTGGCCTTCGGGCTAGGGTTGGGCCTCATCGAGGAGAAGCAGGCGGAGGGCCGGAGGGCAGCTGCGGCCTGTAAGGAGATCCAGGTGAGCGCCGGCGGTTGACAGGGTAGGGACCAGGGCCAGGCCCCCAGCTAGGGGCTAGAGGACCGGGCTTGGGGTAGGGGGTGTGGCCCTCACGAGGGCGGGGATGGGGGTGGTGCCGACCCATAGCCGGAGGCAAGAGGCGGGCGAGGGGCGGAGGCGGGGCGAGGGGCGGAGGCGGGGCTGGGAGATGTCTACAGGTAACCGCCAAGGATCAAGATCTACCTTTGTCAGAGTTGGGAATGCCTTGAAAATCACTGATTAAGCTTCATTTCACCCTTACTGTTCACCTCACAGGGGACCAACACTTCATATTTTGTTTTACTGTTTTCCTTTCCTCAAACCTGTTTTGGAAAATATATTGCTAATTATGTACCTCCAGTTGCACCAGGAGCCAGGCTAGTGACTGTGTACATTTTCTCACATTTGTTGTTGTAATGTTCTGTGGAGTAGGCGCTGACTCATAGAGATCCTATGTTTATCAGCAGGAAACACTGCTCGGCCCTGTACCATCCTCACAATCCTTGCTATGCTTGAGCCCGTCACTGTAGCCGTTGTGTCAATCCATCTTGCTGAGGGTCTTCCCCATCTTTGCTGACACTCTACTTTACCAAACATTATATCCTTCCCCAGGGACTGGTCCCCTCTGACAACATGACCAAAGTAGGTGAAACGCAGTCAGGCCATTGTTGCCTGCAATTCTTCAAGGACAAATTTGTTCACTTTTCTGGCAGTCCATGGTACTTTCAGTATTCTTTGCCAACACCATAATTCAAAGGCATCAACTCTTCTTTGGTGTTCCTTATTCATTGTCCAGCTTTCCCATTCATATGACGTGATTGGAAAATACCATGGCTTGGGTCACATGCACGTTAGTCCTCAAGATGACATCTTTGCTTTTTAACACTTTGAAGAGATCTTTTGCAGCAGATTTGCCTGGTGCAATACGAGGTGTGATTTCCTGACTGTTACTTCCACACATGTTGACTGTGGATCCAAGTAAAATGAAATTCCTGACAACGTAAATCTTTTCTCTGTTTATCATGGTGATGTTTATTGGTCCAGTTGTGAAGATTTTTGTTTTCTTTTTGTTGCGCTGTAATCCATACTGAAGGCTGTAGTCTTTGATCTTTATCAGTAAGTGCTTCAAGTCATCTTCACTTTCAGCAAACAAGGTTGTATCATCTGCATTTCACAGGTTGTTAATGAGTCTTCCTCCAATCCTGATGCCACATTATTCTTCATATAGTCCAGCTTCTTAGATTATTTGCTAGCATACAGGTTAAATAAGTATGGTGAAAGGATACAACCTTGACAAATACCTTTCCTGTTTTGAAACCATGCAGTATCCCCTTGTTCTGTTTCAACAACTGCCTCTTGGTCTGTGTACAGGTTCCTCATGAGAACAGTTAAGTGTTCTGGAATTCCCATTCTTCACATTGTTGTCCATAATTTGTTATGATCCACACTGCTGGATGCCTTTGCATCATCAATACACAGCATCACAATACTCAACACAGGTAGGCATCTTTCTGCTCTTCTTTCAGCCAAGATCCATTTGACATCAGCAATGATACCTCTTGTTCCACATCCTCTTCTGAATCCAGCTTGCATTTCTAGACGTTCCCTGTCAATATACTGCTGCAATCATTTTTTAACGATCTTCAGCAAAATTTTACTTGTGTGTGATATTAATGATATTGTTTGATAATTTCCACATTCTGTTAGATCACCTTTCTTTAGAATGGCCACAAATATGGATCTGTCCCAGTCAGCTGACCAGGTAGCTGTCTTCTAAATTTGTTCTACTAAACAAGGAAGTAGGGGCTCTGGTAGCATAGCAGCTAAGGCACTTGACTGCTAACCAGAAGGCTGGCGGTTCAAACCCACCAGCCACTCCTCAGAAGGAAGATTGAGCAATCTACTTCCATAGTGATACTGCCTTGGAAACCCAAGGAGGGGTCGCTGTGAGTTGGGTCTGACTCAATAGCACATAACAACAAACAAGTAAGTGTCCCTAGAGCTGCTCCATTTGTTGAAACATCTGAGTGGGTATTCTGTCAATTCCTGGAGCCTGGGTTTTCCCCAATACCTTCAGTGCAGCATGGACATCTTCCTTCAATACCACTGGTTCTTGATCATATGCTACCTCCTGAAATAGTTGGACACTGACCTGTGCTTTTTGATACAGTGACTCTGTATTCATTCCATCTTCTTTTGATGCTTCCTGCATTGTTCAATATTTTGCCCATAAACCAAAACCAAACTCACTGCCATCAAGTTGATTCTGACTCATAGTGACCCACATTGGGTTTCCAAGGTGGTAAATCTTTATGGAAGTCAATTGTCGCATGTTCCTTCCATGGAGCAGCTGGTGGGTTTGAACCGCCAGCCTTCTGGCTAGCAGTCAAATGCTTTAGGCACTCATCACCAGAGCTCCTTTAATATGGCAACTCGAGGCTTGAATTTTTTCTTTAGTTCTTTCAGCTTGAGAAATACCAAGCATGTTCTTCCCTTTTGGTTTACCAACTCCAGGTCTTTGCATATTTCATCATAATACTTTGCTTTGTCTTCTCGAGCTGCCCTTTGAAATCTTCTGTTCAGCTCTTTTATTTCAGCATTTTTTCTACTTGCTTTAGCTACTCTCTGTTCAAGAGCAAGTGTCAGTTTCTTCTGACAACCATTTTGATCTTTTCTTCCTTTCCTGTTTTTTTAATGACCTTTTGCTATCTTCATGTATGATGTTCTTGTTGTCATCCCACAACTCATCTGGTCTGTAGTCATTGGTGTTCAGTGCATCAAATCTATTCTTCAGATAGTCTCTAAATTCAGGTGGGATATAATCAAGGTCATATTTTGGCTCTCATGGACTTGTTTTCATTTTCTTCAGCTTCAACTTGAACTGGCATATGAGCAATTGATAGTCTGTTCCACAGTCAGTCCCTGGTCTTGTTTTGACATGATATTGAGCTTTTCCATCACCTCTTTCCACAGATGTAGTTGATCTGATTTTTGTGTATCCCATCTGGCAAGGTCCATATGTATAGCTGCCCTTCATGTGGTTGAAAAAAGGTATTGCAATGAATAAGTCATTAGTCTTACATAATTCTATCATGCAGTCTAGCATCATTTCTATCACCAAGGCCATATTTTCTAACTACTGATGATTCTTCTTTGTTTCCAACTTTTGCATTCCAGTCACCAGTAATTATCAATACATCTTGATTGTATGTTTGTTCAATTTCAGACTGCAGAAATTGGTTAAAAAAAATGTTCAATATCTTCATCTTTACTTTACTGGTTGGTGCATTAATTTGAATAAAAGATATTAACTGGTCTTCCTTGTAGGCATGTGGATATTATCCTATCACTGACAGCATTGTACTTTAGGATAGATGTTGAAATGTTCTTCTTGATGATGAATGTGATGCCATTCCTCTTTGTCATCCCCAGCATAGTAGACCATATGATTGTCTGATTCAAAATGGCCCATCACTGTCCATTTCAGCTCACTAAAGCCTAGGATAGGAGCTCTGGTGGCATAGTGCCTAAGGCACTTGACTGCTAACCAAAAGACTGGTGGTTCAAACCCACCAGCCACTCCTCAGAAGGAAGGTTGGGCAATCTACTTCCGTAATGACACCGCCTTGGAAACCCAAGGAGAGATCGCTATGAGTCAGGTCTGACTTGATGGCACATAACAACAACAGCAGTGCCTAGGATATCAGTCTTTATGCATTCCATTTCTTTTTTGACTACTTCTTC